CAGCTTACCGACCTTCGTTCTGCGATTTCCCGCCTATACGGGCACCGTTTTGCGATTGCATTTGCGATCGCAAAAACGGCCTCGTAGAGCGAATTCATCGCTCTACGAGGCACCCGTTGTGCGAGGCACCACTGTATAGTTATATACATAGTTACTGCAGCCAGAATTCTCTATGCCAAAAATTGGAAAAGTCCGATGGTATCGAAACAAGAAGATTTCATAGAAAAGATACGGGAAACAGCGGAAATGGACATTTTATCAGAAGTGATGAAGGACTGTCCTTTACAAAAGGCAACAGAAAGATGGTACTTATTCTACAAGTGGACTGAATCAACAGGCAGCGCATGAATAGCATATATTGAAATGAGAACTTACACCTGGAAGGCAGAAAAGAGTAAATAGAGTAACTTGGAATCTTGATATGGCAATAGGTATAGAATGGACGTTAGTATGTTATTATTTCTCCTCTTTCCCATTAACCTCAATTCCCCTTTTCCTTTTTGTCACCCCCTTGTTAAAAATAAAAATTAAAAAAAAAGAACACAGCAAAATAATTTGAAGACCTGTACAATGACATTTGTACTGTTGATGGTGCTACTATGGATTCATTCTGCAATGAATTTTGTCTCTATGAAGGATTCCTTACTAATGATGGGATTTTAATATTTTAAGAATGTCCACTGCTATAATTGGTGAAAATTACCCAGACCAAATTATGGAAGTGAAAGTCTCATGCTATCAGGAGGTAGAGCAGCCCTCTCATCTACCTACCATCCCAACACAATACCTTTTTGAATGGGAAGAAGAGTGCCTCCTTGAATCAGTGAAACTGAGGAGTTAACTCGTCAAATCCCCAGTGATTCAGTGGGCTTACTCTATTTAGGATTTATTACACTAAGGAACAGGATTTTATTACATTTTATGAATTCAGATTATCTTTATTTTAATACTGTGACTCACTGACATCAGTTAAATTTTAATGTTTACTGATATGGGCAGTATTGATGTATTTCCTCACCTTTGATATTCTTTTCTTTAGGTTAGCTAATAAGCAGGACAAAGAAGGTGCCCTGGCAGAAGCAGATGTAATTGAGTGTTTATCTCTTGAAAAGCTTGTCAATGAGCACAAATGCCTCTGTCAGATTGTAAGTACATTTTAATAAAATTAATATTCCTTAAATGTGATGCTCGGACAGAACTTTGGGACTAGAATTGAATAATCCTATCACTCTACAATCATATTTTCTTGTCTCTGTGTGAATGCATGTGCTTTTGGTTACTATGCCACAATACTGTCATAGTGTCTATTGTTACAATAAATACAACTTTTTCGAATGCCACTGCTCTTGAGATTTACAGAATGATTCTTTTCTAAGTTAATATTAGTAAGGAGAAAATAATTAAACATTTTTGCCATCCAGTGGAATAATTTAGCCAACAATGAATCTTCCACAAAATCTTTTTTTTTTCAGTCTCTGTATTAGATATGTGCTCCTTGAAAGACTTCCTGAAGTTATTGTACTTTGGTAGTATTTCACTGAAATCTTATTTATATGATCTGTTTTATATTAATCCAGAACAAAATATTAAGGATGAGATTTTCTCTCTAGGTCTGAAGAATTTAGATTTGATTTTTCAAAAAAGAACTCTGCTGTTTCATTGTAATACTAGTTCCTACCCCCGTTGTTTCTGGAATTTTACATTGTTCTTTTTCTTCTGTGTTTTTGAATTCCCAGCCAAAATTCACAAGATGGCAATTCTTTCTAATGAATTGCAAGTATAGGTACTAGTTTATTAATAGCTGTTAGGATCTAAAAAATACTTTTTGCTTCCTGCTCAATTCAGGGTTTTGTTGTTGTTGTTGTTGAATTATAAGAGTTTATAGTGCAAATCTTTCCTGAACAGCTTCAGGTAGCACTTCACTTATTTATGTCCTTAGATCATCGTCGTCGTCATCATCTTAGAACTGTAGAGCTGCAAGGGACCCTATGGATCCTCAAGTCCAGCCCCTCTCAAAGAGGCACAGTGGCTAGGACCCCCATATCTGCTGGAGATTGTTGCTAGAGGCCTAAGCCACTGAGCCATCGAGCAGTTATTTCATGTTGGGAGGGAAAGCAGAACCACTGCAGCAGCCTCACCCTCTGTACTGTTGTGCAGCTATCCTGTAAAAAAGTGTATTATTTGTCAGAGATCCTTCATTGGGGTATGTTTATGTCTGTATAGAACCCCTTCGCAGTTGTGTTAGATATGTAGGAGGACTTCTGGCCATGATGGAACTAATCTTTGTGACCTACACTAAGATTGCAAAAAGAAAGAAAGAAAAAAGAAAAAAACATTTCATATTTGTTTTAGGACATGGCATTTTTACTTAAAAGACAATGTGGCATGATTTGAAATTCATTTCATCCTTTTGATATTTGTTTTAGGACATGACATTTTTACTTAAAAGACAATGTGGCATGATTTGAAATTCATTTCATGTTGTTACACAAGATTATCCTTGGCAAAGTTACATTCTGTGAACAACAAAGTGTGAACATTTTTGGAGTTGGTGGATTGCAGCTGTGGTGGTTTAACTAGGCAATCTCTGGTTAAACAAGTGTGAATATTTTTGGAGTTGGTGGGTTGCAGCTCTGTTGGTTTAACTAGGCAATCTCTGGTTAAACATGTGATGATGTGATGTGTTTATACTTTATTTTCTTTATCAGACACCAACATTCTCCTATTTAACAACCAAAGCTTAATCTATGTAATACTTTTGAATCTTATACATTACAGTGATTTCTACTGCTAAGTTAGGATGGTTATATAATCTAAAATACAGGCTTTGGGAATTAACACAAAAACAAAACAAAAAACTTGGGAACTCAGTGAAGACTAAGAATGATCGATGGTCACATGACTCCTGAAGCAGGGCTGGCTCAATGGGATACAGCAGTGGTCTCCAACCTTGGGCCTCCAGATGTTCTTGGATTACAACTCCCAGAAGCCTTCACCACCACCTCTGCTGGCCAGGATTTCTGGGAGTTGAAGTCCAAGAACATCTGGAGGCCCAAGGTTGGGGACCACTGGGATACAGGACAGTATGAAAGATCACTCTGTATAAATGTTCTACTATGTAACGTTTTGTTGTAACTCCCTCTTGGTTTACTCTAAAAGAACTTTTAAGTTCTTGGGACCCTTGATCATCATTTAAACAATCCTTGTTTGTACGAAATTACCAATCTCTTCCTTTGAACTACAGTACTAAATATAATCTCCTGGGAATTTAGGGAGCAGCTTTCATGATATGGTGAACATGAACTGTATCTCTGTGGGTTTCATCTTGTACAGATCAGTGCTATATTGACAATTGACATGGATCCATATGTGTATGAATTTTCACTGACAGGTGACTAGCATAGCATCTAGCTGGGAGAAATTATTTGGCAATGAGTTGATATCTTATTGTCCACAGTAATTTAAAAACACAATGTGCAGCTGTTTTTTCTCTTACTTATAGGAGCCTTGTTCAGCTATCATGGGCTATGGGAAAAAAATTGACAAATCTATAAAGAAAGGCTTACTTTGGCTATTACATATTATAGCCAAAGATTTTGAGGTCTTACATGAAAGAATCCAGAAAGACACTACAGAGCAGAAAGCAGCAGAAGAACAAGAAAAACGAGAACGGGCAGAACGAGTGAGGAAGATACGGGAAGAAAGGTTTTTTTCTTTTAATTTCTAAGATTGAGCTATGCGAGAGAAATATAAAAGTTGTAATTTGTGTGGATTACACTAGGACCCCCATATCTGCTGGAGATTGTTTCCAAGTTGCCACCCCTCCCCCCCGGTAATACTGAAAAACATGGATAATATCAAACTCTCTCTTTATAGTAAACCTCCCAGAGTAATGTATTGGCACTAATGGGGAGCGGTATACAAGTGTAACAAACAAACAAACCAACAAACCATGATAAATGGAAAAAAAAGAGAGAAAAAAACTATTTTCACATGCATTACTAGTACTGGCTACTAGAGTGTGTCAGAAACAATGCTATGCATTTTTGACTCACAAGTATTCTCTGGCTCCTTCTACTGGCCGGTTCTGTTAATACATGTGAAATAGTTTTTTTGATGGATTTTTTTCTTTTAATATTTTTAATATTTTCAAACTATGAATAAGTGAATTTATTTTATTTTAATTTTATTTTATTTATATCAGTGGAAACTGATCACGGGGATAAAGGGGGGTCCTACTGTAATTCAAAATATTTTACACCACCCTTCTTACTTGTGACACGCAGCAAAAAACATATATAAAAACAAAAAAAAATCTGTATTTTGTTTGTATTTATTTATCCACAAACATATGCCTAGCCTGTCCTATATCTGAATATCTTGTGGTGAGATGATTCTTCAGGATGCTCATAATATAAGCCCTACCCCAAAAATAATCCCCATTAAGTGAAACCCCGCCTTCCACCATCGTGCAGCAACCAGAAGAGGATGACAGGACTGTGTTTGAATCAATGTAGATTGCTGTACATGAAAAAAATAAGACATGCCCTGAAAATAAGCCCTAATGCCTTTTTTGGAGCAAAAAGTAATATAAGACCCTGTCTTATTTTCAGGGAAGCAGGGTAGCTAAAATTTCAATATATTCTCACATTCCCACCACATATGAAAACAAGTAGCTATTTTCCGACATCCTCTCTAGCACAACTTAAAGCAATTCACATTTATTTGATTTAATATCACCAAAGTTAAAAACTATCTCCAAACTAACTTATTAAAAAATTCCTTTAGCCTTACAGTTTCCAATATTCTAATAAGCCATATATTTTTTTTTCATCACCTAGTACTTATTTCTTCTTCTAAATCACATGGGTCTGCAAGAAAAGAGTGATCTCGGGGGCTGGCACTAAACCAGTCGAAGGCCCCCTGGAAAAATCAATCCAGCCACAGGAGGGAAAAGCTCTTCCCACCCTATGACGGGAAGCGTTTCAAAACAAAACAGATTCTAGGAAAACCCACCCTGGGAGAAAGAAAGAACAGGAAGTTCAGGGCCAAGGATGACCAGGCCTGAACAGGAGTGTTTATTTGTTCAAGGCTCCAAGGTTGGAGACCCGCATAGAAGGGGGATGGATGGGCTGGGCAAAAAAGCAGTTTATGTAATGGATCCTCCCACCAGCCATTCACAGAGACCACGGAGAAGAACTTCCCACCAACGGCAGAGGGCAAACCAGCTACAGCTGAACACCTGAGTCTGGTGGGAGCCAGTGGGGGAGCCAAGCTGCTGCCTTCTCAAAGGTCTAAAGCCGGAGTCATGGCTGGCTGCTTGAGAACAGCTGGGCAAACTCAGTGAAGTCTCGGGGGAAAGAATCCAGCGGATGCTTCTGGGAAGCCCTCGAGCAGAGAATATTTTAAAAAATTATTTCTTTTTATCCTCTAAAAATTAAGTGTGTCTTATTGTCAGGTGCGTCTTACGGAGTGAAAAATACGGTAGGTTTCAAAGGAATGCAGTGATAGCCCATCCTTGTAGCCTTCTTTGTCAAAGTTTTCCAAACATGCTCAGTCATTTACTGTCTTCTTTCCACTCCACTGCACCCAGTACCCATCCTTGTGGCCTTCTTTGTCAAAGTTTTCCAAACATGTTCATTTTCTGTCTTCTTTCCACTCCACTGCACCCAGTGAACCAGATGAATCATAAAGCATCCTGTGTATATTTAGTAAAAATATAACAAACGAAGTAGGAAGAATTGTAATTAATGGGTTCTAAGCATTCGTAAGCTACCAACATGAATTCGACCAAACTCCGGGAGGCAGTGGAAGACACCTGGTGTACTCTGGTCCATGGGGTCACGAAGAGTCGGACACGACTTAACGACTAAACAACAACAACAACCATTCCTGACACAGTGTATGTGAAATGTTTCAAACATGTCTATTATGTTGAAGAACATAACTTAAAAGGCTGTGTCTTTGTATTTATTTTGATTTATGATCTTCTGTCTATTGATTCTGTCTATTGATACTTACATTTTTTAAAAAGAGAACGGAAAGAAAGAGAAGAAGCTGAGCGTGAAGGAAGGAACATTTCGGATGAAGGTGAACCTGAGATCATAACTGGCAATCCATTCCAGCTCATATCAGCTGTAATCATTGAGGTATTGGAACACTTGTATGTGAAAACTTTGATAAACCACATATTTAAGACTACTGGATAGTAAATCTGGATTATGAGTAGGAAGATTCCTTAGAAACCATTCTTCCTGCTCCCACATGAATGGGCAAAATCTGTGGAGTAGCCGACCAACAGCTGTAGCGTGGAATAGTATAGATTGATTATGGTTCATTGTAAAAGATTAATAGATGTCCACTTGAATGGAAAATTGGTCTAGACATCTTTAAAAGAAATAAAGTAGGTTGAATATTTAGGTAAAGGATTTGCAATATGATTCTCACAATCTTTACTCATAATAGGCTTCTAAACTGGTACCGTTTGAAAGAAAATGACTAGCTGAAAATACATGGTAAAGATACATTTTAACTTGTTAAATATTTAGTACATGAAACTTATTTCAGTAATCATGGTGGAGTATTTTCTGTACTATTTCTCATACATGTTATTAAGTCTGTCCATTTTACTAAAATGGCCTTTTTCTGTGCTTCGATAGAATGAAAAGAAAATTGAAAAAGAGAAGAAGAGACAGTGGGAGGAAAGTGAAAAGGATGCCATTGTCTTGAAACCTCAAACAAATCAGGAGCAAATGGACACTCAAAGCCTAAATAGCCAACGATTCACTGATGGTAGCCTGGTAGAAAATTACAAATCTGCATTGACTCAAGAGTTGGAACATGAAGATGAGAATGAGCAGCAGATCTCAGAAAGTTTTGATTCTGGTGATAATGTCACCTTGAATTCAGGAACAGGTGAATTTAGTTTCATGGCTTAAATTTAGAGGTGTGCATTGCTGGCCAGCAATAGAGCCTGCCTATGTTTGCATTTGTCACAATGTTGTGTCATTGTATTTATTTATATTTCTTGTGCAACTGTGCTGCACATTTTAGCATATTAGCAAGTTTTCAATATTATGTAATCCTCTTTGAATAATTACCTTTTTGGAGGAGAACCACATTACTTAAATATTGAAAGTGAGGATACAGGACAGAGAAGATGGATAGAGCTGTTCAGATGCTAGGCATTGTATTATTAATGTTGTTTATATTTACTTTAGAGAGCAGTAAAAAGAAAGCAAAGAAGCTAAAATTAAAAAGAAGTCATCGAGTGGAACCAGTTAACACGGAAGAGACAATATCCCCAGATCCTACACCAGTAGCACCTCTTGCACCAAGTGAGTTAAAAACAAATACTTAAATCTACTGTTTTCCTGATTTTTGAAAACTGCAGTGGCTATTACAGTTTAAAACCATTGGCTATTTCGTAACACACACATATTAAAATGCAACTATCTGTTTTTAGATTTATTTGTACCGTTAATAATTTGCTAGTATAGATTTTCTTTAAATCTTTTGATATAGTAAGGAATGCTAAGCTCCGTTATGGGAGATCTATTCCTGAGGTGGTTTAAACTATATACAGTAGGTGTTACAGAATTGGGAGTATTTGTTGTAAATAGTTCCTTTTTTTCTAATCTCCTGCATGTCTGTTTCCATTTTAGGATTTTAAGATAAACTTATGTATTGTACTGATATTTTATTTGTTGAAAAGTTGGTCCTGAAATCTTAAGCTACTGTACTGTGCCTTCTGATTAGAGACATTATAACAATTGATTTACCTTACTGGATTTATTTAGATCGCTTTTCCCATATATGGATCAAATCTGTTAACAAAGTAGGTAACTGCCACCCATGTACCTTAGGTCCAGATGTTTAGGAATACATTTTCACTGCCTTTTCTAGAAATGCACATTCAGATCACTTCTGTTCCTCATAAATATTTCTTTACAAATCTTCAGTTATATGAAGTATCAACCTGAATTTATACAGTACCATAACCTGTTTCAATAAATATTTCAAGTCTGTGGCTGTGGCGAATATCAGACAGATGCCACACCTATCGGGTCATATGTGGGTGTGTGCAGGTGTATGCGCACACACATATTTGAGAAAAAATATATTTTTAAAACATTATTTTTAGTGAGTAATTATTTAAATGCAGTCTTTCCAAACTCCTGAAAAAAAACCCAAATTGCAGAATGGTGAATAATAATTGCAGAATGGGAAAACACACGTGAAAGAAAAATGGAGTGGACATAATCTGAATTTTCCACCCTTAGGCTAGAATTATTTCGGATTAATTTAATCTGTTTCCATAAAGTGCAGTTCTCGGGGTTATATAAATGATGGGAGCACTTCTCCGAGTACAGCAGCTCTGACAGTTTTCCTTAGAGGTTCCCTTATATAGTGTCAAACCGTAGATCTTTCTAGGTCAGTATTGTTGACACTGACTTGGCAGCAGCTGTCTAGGATTTCAGGCAGGAGTGTTTTTGAGCCCTGCGAAGATTGTTCTGAGAATGCTGGTGGACTCATCATGCATGCATTAAAGCACACTGCTTTTCCTGAAACTCTGCAACTTTTGTTGAAGTATCTGCTTCTGTAGATGGAGGAAGTGGGACTTCAGCTTTCTGATTAGTATGTTACAAACCAAATTGTATACTTGCATAATCAAAAATGCATTTCTCTGAATAGAGATGTGCAGTAATGTAGCTTAAGTCTAGCTATTTTTTCATATCTTCCAAAAGACAAGTGCATGGTTATCTGAAAAAGACTAGTACCGATAACAAAATTGTTATTTTAGGTTAGGCTGTCAGTAACCATAACTAACCATGAGAAAGAACTAAAAACTGTAGCTTCCATTATTATAAGACTGCATTTCTGATCACTTTCTAATACCAACTCATATATGTTTATCAGATTTCTGTGTGCAACCAGACAATCTCATGCCCTACTTGTGAGTTTCCTGGGGAAATTTGCCTTGGTGCTCTTGAAAACAGAAAGTTAGACTAAACTCATGTAGCAGTCTATTTTGCAATTACAGTATTAACATTTTTAAGAAATGAACATATCAATGCAGTTTCTTTTATATTATGAATTTCTTCAACAGTCAGACATTTTCATCCATCTTCACATAGATGAGTGTTTTGGTTACTAGATTTCTTTTTGACAATGTGGTGTTGCTTTTTGATATTTTTTTTTCTGTAGTTGGATGGGAAACTCCTAAGGTTAACAGAGTTCGAAAACTTGAACCTCTTGGTGAAACACGTCGTAATGGTAATTTTGGAGGAGATAATAATTTGTTGTTTGTCCCTAGAAAAACATTCCATTTTGCATGCTAACTTTTTAGAATTTCATCTAATACTGTGCTGCTTTAAAAGCATCATTTCATATTTCTTATTTTTAAAAAATCTGTGCTTGTTTCCCTCATTTAAAGCAAAGTATGAAATGTCTTGCTTATCAACTACTTGCTTTATTCTATTTGCTTCAGTATAGATTATTGCACATGATTGTGTCCTGGCATCCTGATTTACAATTAAAACAACTAGTTCACTGTAAAGACAGATCCCATTCTATATGTAACACATTTTCATTGCTTTGGTAGAGTTCACAGATTAAAGCAGAAACAACTTGCATATGTCAGCCATCCAAAAATCCAACAGTCTGGTGGACCAATTGCTAAATTTTGTGAGGTGGAACATGCAAAGAAATCTTTTTGAAATATCTTAGAGAGACAAAAGCTTTCCTGACATAGCTCACAATTATTTGAGACAATGTAGAAATGACAGCTGAGTGTAAAGAATAAATATCTACTATCACCATGAAAACTTTTTTTAAAGAAATTTTGCTCTGAATTTTAACTACATGGAAAGACTCATTTCTTTTTTAAAATACCTTTTATAAATATCCTAATTTATAATATTGTGTTCTCTTTGGCTGTTTTCTTTTATATTTTTCATAAAATATTCAAATGTACAAATGATTTTTTAAAGATTCCTTGGGATAAGCACAAATATGCATTGTGATAGAGCAATTATGTAGTATACCTTTCAACAAATTTGTATAATGAAATCCATCTTTCTTTTTAAGGAGTTTAAAGAGAAGAAAGCAAGAGAAAAGGCAAAACAGAAGAGGTAGGGAGGAGAGTGAAGGGCTTACATTTGTCAAGTACATCCTCTTTGCTCATATCATGGCAGTCTGATCTGTGCCTGGAGCATGGGAGTAGAATCCAAATACGTCTTTTTGGACACAGTGCCTACTACAGTCCATCAGTTTCTCATGGGTAAAAAATGAAATGTTGCAAGAAATGCATCTGATATCACTAAAGCTGGTGAATTTTGCTGATTTAGGAATATTGGTTGCATAACCTTTTAATAGCTTCGATTCCCAGATTGTCTAAAGCCATTCAGTCAATAATGCTCATGATATTTCATAGAGTTCCTTGCATATTTGTCTGCATTTGCATTTTAAAACACCAGGCCTTAGACTTGAGACGATGCCACAGAGTCCACTTTAGAGCCATTCCCCTTGATGTTATTATTGGCTGTACTATGGGCCAATAAGTATACAGTGCTGCCTCGCATAGCGAGGTTAATCCGTTCCGGATTAACCTTCGCTATGCTGAAGCATCGTTGAACGGGACAGAAAAGCCCATTGGAACGCATTAAACATGGTTTAATGCGTTCCAAATGGGCCAAATACTCACCGTTCAATGTAGCTTCGTAATGGCCGGCAGCCATTTTCGCGCCCTTGCCTCGCTTAACGAGGGCGCGAAAACGCTGTGCGCGGCCATTTTGGGCCATTTCCGGGCTTCCGGCGGCCATTTTGGCCGCCGAACAGCTGATTGTCGGGCTTCGTTTTGTGAAGATCGGTAAGCGAAACGCTTACCGGTCTTCGCAAAGCGAATTGAGCCCTATTCAAAAGGCGTTAAGCGATCGCATTAGCGATCCGAAAAACCGGATCGCTATGCGATTTCGTCGTTATGCGATGCGCTCGTTAAGCGAGGCACCACTGTAATTTAAGAATCATTTTTATAAAGTGGCAGTTTCAAGGTTCTAAGACATAGGTTTCAGGATGTACATTTTCCCTTATAGTTCCCTTTTTATATGGAGTCGACAACATTCAAGAGCCTACGGGTTATTTTTGCTCTCCACTGGAACATGGATGGCCGCATACCCCTCTGACACCCTAAAATACCCTCAATTCTTTTCAGCACCCCCAAATGAATAGTGGGTGTCATTTGCTCTGTACTCCCAATTTCACCCATTGTAGTGCCCCACGTTTTGCTTTCATTTATAAAGGTAGTTATATTTGTGGGTTTTATTCATACAGCTCCATCTGGAAGTTTTGACAAAAAGCCAAAAATAGCCGAGTGAGAATGACTGTGCAGGGCAGATTGCACTCGAGAGGCTGGAGTGGCAGAGGTGCAATTTGCTTTTTTGCAGTCTATTTTTTCAGGATATATTGGTAGTTTGAGGAGAGAACAAGGTTATATGGGATCCCATAGGAAACTACATTCTCACCTCTCCCCTAAAAGAATTAAAAACACTCCTCGTCAAACACAATTAAATGTTTAACAGACTAGCTGAAGTATTATGTCAACTTATATAGACCTTGCTTTCGTTTTAAATAAAGACAACTTTCAGCAGTTTCACAGCTGTCTTTTAAGATTTTGAGTTTATATATCAATATAGTTTAATTAGTTAATCCAAATAATTTACTCACTGCTGTCATGTATATAACCTTCATTTTGGAATATATATAAGAAAATGCTTAACCTCATGGAGGAGATAGTTTTTCTCATCTGAGATGTTTCAGGTAAAACCCAGACTGCTTTGATAAACTAAAGCAAAACCAGGGGCACTTATATCTATGGCATAAGTTGATTTTCAGTGTTACTGAAAGTAAGAAGGACCCTAACAGATACTTATATTCACTTTTCCTGTTTTCTGTTTCCTGCTGAGTGCATGAGCTAGTATTTCCCATTTTCTAACTTTATAGTTTTGCATGTATTAAACCTGCATGTATGATGTTTCCGTTTTTAAAAAGATATCTTGAAAGGCTGATGTTTTCCTTGGGAGGGGTACGTGGGGTTGAGTACTTATGGACTAAGCATCGGCTAATCTGAAATAACCTGGAAATGTTTCAAGCAACCTTTGCTCTCTACAGGTAATTGCTAAGACAAAATAATGTACCGGTTGAATATAAAAAATTACAACATGTAAAAGACAATTTTTAAAAAAATTACACTCCTAAACAAGGCAAATATATTTTTTCTGTATTATACATTTTTCCATAATATGGATTATAGTTCTACTCTGATTAAGAACAACTGTAACATTAAATGGAACCCAGGTTTTCTTACACTTACATTCCACATTATTTATTGTTCTTAAAAAAACAGCTGATATATAATGTCCTGTATTTAAACATTGTTTCTTCTCCAATGTGTATGCTAGATTTTTATGGAAAGCCACTGCCTCCACTGACTCTGCGGCAGAGACCTAACAGCGATTCCCATGATGTCATTTCTTAACTATTCATCACAAGGCAGCTTATGAAGCTAGGACCTCTGTTTGACAGAATTTCCATGTTTCAGGAGACATTTGCTATTCTTGACAATTTTGGAGCAAGGACTCTACAATTGCCTTAGGATTTTAACAGTGAGGATGATCCTGGTGAACTTAATTATACTATCTCCTTCTTGACTCATCAGCAGCTTTTCATGGTTAACATGGAATGAAAAAATTTGCAAAAGGAGAGCAAAGCTTTGCAGGTGGAATGACAGTTATAAACCAGGAGAATACTGCTTTCAAAACCAGTTGGAACTTGATTGTTCTCACATAAGGACTTTAGTTTGGCTTAGCATATTTCAGTATACAATGTTATTTTTTGTAAAATATCTGCATGTTCAAATGAAAAATATAATATGAAGTGTACATTTAAACTATTTTTTATATTTTTTCTAGTTTGTTGATTTTTAACAGAACTATTTGGTTAACATAACTATTTTGAGATACTAAAGTTCATAGCTATATTCATCAGCAAGATGTACTTCTGAAAGTCACATTTTTGGAAAAGCAATACAGTTTGCATGTGATTTGCCTCACAAGTTGACTAGCTGCTAATATATTGTTATTGTGTCTCGTCCTAATTCACATGGAAGAAGTGTGCACCCAAATAGATGCCACACTCATGAGTCCCCCAAGAAGAAGAAAATAAAAACCATGGCTGGCTCTCTGCATGGTGAACTACAGCTTAAATCTCTGAAGCAGTATTGTGTATTGTGAAAAATTGCAGCCCCCGCCTCTTCTCTAGGTCAGTGGTAGTACTGAAGTTTGTATCTTCAGAAAGCTCTAATCAGCATAGCTTGTCATGAGAGATGCTGGGAATTACAATCTAAAACATCTGGAGCAGCATAGTTATTGGATATTGGGAATATCAAGGATCTGTGGAGTTCTGTGTACATGGGCAGTTTCTGGCATGACATTTTCAGGCTGAGGAAATAACATGTACCTCATTTATACATATATTTCCTCATGTCAGCTTACGTTTTAATCTCCTGTGATGAAATATCCAATATTATGGTGATAATCTCAAATGAATACTCTCAAGTGAATTTATATTAATTGATAATTAACAAGAAAGTAAAGAATAAAAATTAAGATGTCACCATTTAAGTTATATAGTATCCCTTTTGTAGAAGAATAAAATCTGACTTCTGAGATGTTCTTGCTGAGATCTGTGGATGTAATAGATAACAGCCAGAATCCTGGTGTAACTATAATTGCATTAACTGCAGCACTGAATTACCATTAATTACCAAATTACCACCTGCATGCTTGATTGTGAATTACTAGGAATGCAAGTGGCAACCTATTCATTTGTGATAATTTACCACTGCAAGTTACACAATTAGAGTGCTATAAGCCAACAATAGGATCCTAGCTAATGTACTGAGACCTCCCATTTGCTCAGATGTTTCTGTACATGAATATTGTTGGAGGGGTATTAAACTTAGTCACCATGGATAAAATGTAGTCTCCCGAGTGTTACAGGACACATGAAAACCTCTGTTCATATTAACCTCTAGGTGTACATTATAGCCTTTTGCAATGGTCATGTTCAAACAGTGCTCTAAATCCTCTTCTGTAGCTACTCAGTAACTTTTTGAGGTCTATTGCCCCTAGTTAATAAATCACTTTAGACATTATCTGTTGCACACTTAATTGTATGACTTAAGTGTGCAACTGATAATGGCTATGGTGATTTTTTGGGGATGTTTGCTTCAAAAAAGTTGTGTTATTTATACTATGCCAGTGTAACTAGATAAGAGGATTTGGGCTATTGTGATGTTAGAACTCCCTTCATCGTTTCTTTGTACTGCATATTTGTTTGAATTGCATTTGAAGATAATTCTGCACTGTGAATAAAACTGGCACAACTGAAATCTCAACTTTGTTAATTTATGTCATCTTACCATTTATTAGGTGATTCGATAGCTCAGTGAGCTGGAGCAAGGGTTCAGGAGTTTGATTCTCCAATGTGCCTTGTAGGTGAAGAGCCAGATAGGCGGGATATAAATAGAATAAATAAATAAATAAATAAATAAAATAAATATGTGGTCTTGAGTAAACATGGCTACTCCTTTGAAGCCTGACACTAGTTGCCCCAGAGAACCAATCAGTGTCACTGTTTTAAGCAGGACATGATAATAGGCATTTGGTGTATCAAGCAAATGGATTCTTTCAGCTGTGAACTATACTTCATCTGCTGTCCACTTGGCTTCTCAGTTTTCTTTCTTTTAGCACTGACAATATATATTCTAATTCAATTCTTTTAAAAAAAAACTCCAGTTTATTAATGTGTGATACAGTGGACCCTCGACTTACAGGCGGCTCGACTTACAGACTTTTCGAGTTACAGACTTCTCTGGCTGCAAAATTTAGGTTTGACTTGCAGCCTGAGAATCAACCTACAGACCAGAAAAAAACCAAAATGGAACAAAAATGGCCAGTTACGGGATTAATCGGGTTTCAATGCATTGGAGACTTGACCTACAGACTTTTTGACCTGCAGCCACTGTTCCAATACGGATTAATTCCATATGTAGAGGGTCCACTGTACTGTGCTTCTGTATTCACGATTCAAAAAGCCAAGAAATGGCCCAATACATGCGTGCGTTGCCAGCAGGAAAAAGGATGTCAAGCCTTCCATAGCAAAGGGCAGCCTGAATGTTGACAACACCAATGGCACCAGTCAAGATGGTCTATGGCAAAAGTCCCCAACCTCCTGCCCCCCCTCCGCATGCACTCACCACCGCACAGCTGCTTTGTGCCAGGCTCCCCCACCCCTTTGCGCATGCGGCACCCAGAGCACCGCGGCGCTGTTTGTGCATGCACGCGAGCACCCGCCTGCCCAAGCACCCGTGTGTGTGTGTGTGTGTGTGTGTGTGTGTAAGAACAAGGGGTAAATTTGGAGGGGTGTGTTTTTTGTTAAGCCTACCTGCCCCGAACCCTCACCCGTATTTCTCTGATCTACCCAAACGCAAACACACACACTTTGTCATCACAATGAAAGGAAAGGGGGGGGGAGAGGAAAACAAACGGGAGGCGACATGATGAGGGAACAGCCTTGGCCCCAACGGCTCTTCAAAGTCAAGGGCCAGGCTGGCCACTTCGGCTTCTGTCAAAAATGACGCCCTGCAGCGCAGACGGTGGGAAAATGCGCTTAGACTACAGTTCCCATAATTCCACAGCTAGCAGGAGCAGCAGCCTCGCTGACTCGAGGATCCATGGGAGACGTAGTCGAAAAGAACTTCCTGTTGTCTGCCAGCTGCCCTTTGAGCCGGCACAATGCCGAATTTTAAGCCCTAAGAAGTTTTACACAAGTTTCCTGACTGCTTATTTGCGCGGTGCTCATTTGTGGCTATTCCTCTCCCACCGCCGCCACCTCCTCCTCCTCAAAGTCGGCCCCATTGATCCGCCACTTCGGCTCCCAATGGCCTGCCCCCGCGGCCTGTCTAGACGGGCCTTGCCCTGCCTCCTCCAGGTGGGTCGGCTCTTCCGAGGAGAGCCCCGGGAGGCCGCCGCCTCTTCCTGCCGGAGAAGGACCCACTCTTCTTCTTCGCCTCAGAAGCAGGTGAGCGCGCACCGGCGGGGTTGCTGCGCGGGGCTGTAGCGGAGACGGCCTTCTTTCGTAACCAGGAGGCTCTTCCTCCGACGGGAATGGCAGGCAAGAGAGCAGCACGCTGCCAGATTTTTTCGCTAAAGTCGTGCGTCGCCGCAATCATCTGGCCGTGCTGGGAGTTGTAGTCCAAAACCCCTACAATTTTGATTCCCCCCCTTTTTGCAGATACAGGCCCACGGGTTCGTTTTCGCCGGACCCGTGCCCCTTCCCGGAGGGAAAGAGAGGGAGGCCCATTAAATGACCAGCAGCGAAGGACCGGGAGCCTGGCCGCCCTTTCGGTGCCTCTCTCGCACATGCTCGTGCGTGCCTGTACCTGTGCCAATATGCGCGCACACGTCCTTGCTCCCTCGCGTGCAGCCTGACACGCATCCTCAGGCTCTTTGGCGCTCGCACGGACTCCCCGAGTTGCCGCGCTCTTTCTTGCTCTCTCTCTCTTTTTTTTCTTTCTTTCTCTTGTTTCCGACTACTTTGGCGCTCGCACGGACTCCCCGAGCTGCCGCGCTCTTTCTTGCTCTCTCTCTCTCTTTTTTTCTTTCTTTCTCTTGTTTCCGACTCCGCAGCCGCTGTCCTCAGTTCTGGCACGCAATGCCCCCCCCCCGTCAAGCCCGGACACTCTTTCTCTTCCACATACTTTCCAGCACTCACAACAGGAAAGAGGTTTTCCCCTCCCTCTTCCCACTCCCATAATTACAGCTGTCTCTGGCTGGCAAAAAAATATATCCCCAAGTAATAGAGCTGATCCTCCAGTTATAAAGGTACAGTATAGGGTTGTTGGGCTAGGGCCATAACAGCACCCCTCCTCCCCTGGGCTGAGCCAGGCGGTTGTAACTGGTAGAACAAGGGCAGAAAACATTTAACCACTTAACATTCATTTTCTTCCTACCCTATCCCTTCTCTGCCTCCTTCACATTCATAGAATATGATGAGGATGAGAGTTAGTGATAAAGATAGGGCCCCATCTCGCTTCCTATCAAAGCTGTGACACAATCCACCGAAATTTAGAGGCTGCAAAAATGTAGTGCTGAAAGGGTGTGAACCCACTACCCTGAGTGTTTGTACCACCCCCCAAACACTTTGCGCTAAAGGAAACACAAAGAGGCTGATCATGGCACTGATACTTAGGGTGAAAAGCAGAAGTGGACTGGCTCAGAGTAGCCTGACTCAGGTGAGGTGGTGCCTTATTTGCCCTAATGTGCCAGCTGCCGCTGGGCAAAAGAGTTCAAATCCCGAAATACCTGTCACATTGTCTTTATGTTTACGTACATTATTTTATACAGTATTTTTCTTTACATGAAATTGAATCGAGAAGAAACTTCCTAGGTCAAGAAAACTGAGGGGAGGGGGGGATAGTGCTCAATTTAATGTGTCTATTCCTCTTTTTTTTTTTCCTGCCTTAATTAGGAGCAGGCCCATTCAGCTCAGTGAGACTTACTTCTGAGGAGTTACATATAAAATTGCATTATAAATAGTGAAAAAAGAATATTATGTATAGATAATTGGCAAAGTAGCTGGTTGGATAACTTGCTGAGTTAGGTATCTGCCTGCAGAGTCAGAGGCCTCTAAGAAGAAGCAAATGATAAACACTTCTAAGTACTCTCTACTGTATCTAAAAAAAACCTAGAAAGGGTTGCTAAAAGTCAGAGCTGACTTGATAGCACATGATGATGATGATGATGATTAATTGGCAGAGTAAAATGTAATAAATGCATCCTTTTTTCCCTGGAATTTCTCAGGAAGCAGTCCAAGGTTTGAATTTTCAGTGACAGGCTTAAACACGTTTTTTTTTTTACAAGGGTTTGAAAAATAAGTTAGCTCAGTGCATCCCTGCCATTTGTCTGATTCATATATTCTCCTTGTTACTTTGAGTTATTACAGATACTGCAAGTCAGCTATCATTTTCACGGCTAAATGACTATTTCTAGGACTTTCTCCTAGGACTTGGTTTCTTGACGCTGCACCCAGTGTCCTGGTTCTGCAGCCTTATACATAATGGATTAATATTGGTCACTGTGCAAGGGCCTTGGAAAGCCTCCACAAAAAAGTCAATACACAGATATTTCCACACACAAAATATCACATTACTGCATGGACAATGGGAATGAAGGTGGCAGGAGCTGTGATCTAGATACAGTACTTGGAACATGGGTTTTCCAGAGAAACACTCTCCAATTGTTATATCAGGCTACATTAGATCAAAACCATAATTTCACAGGTAATTCAAGAAACCTGAGACCAGTCTTTTGCAGGAAAGTAATATTGATTATATAGCTTGGACTACAACTCTCCAAATCCCCCAGCTAACAACTGGTAATGATGAACTGAGAAATTTGTTTTTGCAAGCTCTTATTGGGAGATTGCTGTAGGAGGTGCTACTTGACCAAATTATACAGTACAATACAGTGCATTGATATGGAAGACATCGTCTTCATACACCTTTTGTTCCAGCCTCTCAAGAAGTCACTCAAATCTAGACACTTATTTTCTGAGTATTTTAATTGCACTGTTTATGCTTAAGGTATAACCAAGTACCCGCATTTTGCTAATTGTTTTTCTTGTTCATTTTTCATCTTCTCTCCAAGCTGGAAACAAAATCAGAAACTGTTCATCAAAAGCAGATATGCCAAATTGTTCTTGATCATTTTGAGAAACAGTACTCCAAGGAGCTGGGAGAAGCGTGGAACTCAGTCAGGTCAATTTGTGATTTCTTTTCTATTCCCTTCCATTGGTCCAGTGTATTTTAACAGGAAGAGTTCTGCATAATGCAGACAAATTGGAAACTTTTGAACATGATTTATGTGTCTTTCCTCCCCCATATGAAAAAGGAAGGCCAGATAAAAGAGAACTTAATTACTATGTAAAACAGAGATTGAAACTTCAACCTTCTTGGGATTGATCCTGGAACCTCTATTCAGAGCTCTAGAACTGGAAAGTTGGCTTGGGAAAGTTACTTTTTTTTGGACTACAATTCCAGGAAAGCCCAACAAACTTCCAGAAAGTTGTTATGCTGGCTGTCAATTGTTGTCCAAATTATTCTTGACTGGAAATATAATTTCTTGTGCACTTAACCCTCACGTATTGTTGCCACGTCAAACAATATCTTATTCCCATAGAGTCCAGGACCCAAACTTAGTGAAGTTAGAGAGGCAAAGCAAGTATTGGGAGGGAGTGGAACAAATTTGCTGCTGGTTGTAGTAGCAGTGACAGCTAGACTAACATATAGTCGTGGGAAAAAAGTACACACTTTTTTAATTCTATGGTTTTATATATATTACGCCATGTCATGATTTATTTTACAAAAATAAAGCCAAAATGGAGAAGCTATGTGCAAAAAACTAAGTACACCCTTACTGCTTCAATAGAATTATGAGGCTACGTAGCAGCCAAGTGCTGCTAATCAAATGCCCTTGAGTAATTGATTATCAGCAAGTGTGACCACCTGTATAAAAGCTGAAGTTTTAGCAGTTTGCTGGTCTGGAGCATTCAGGCGTGTGTTAAAACAGTGCTTAGGAGAAAACACATACGTAGTGAGCGTAGAGAAACAATTGTTGCTGCCCATCAATCTAGGAAGGGTTAAAAGGCCATTTCCAAACAATTTGGAAATCCATCATTATACAGTGAGGAAGATTATTCAAAGCAAAGTACAGTGATGTAACTACTACACCACACTGATCCAATTTCTTGTAAGGTCATAATAAAAAATAAGTTGAGAGACAACCAAAAAAGAAAAAAGGAAAGGGGGGAAAGGCAGGATTTTAAGCAAGTTTCTAGATTTAACTCAGGATGCTATTCCCCCGTTATATTGATTCATTCCAGAATACAGTGGATGTGCAGCTGTGTTGTTCTGTTTTAAGCAGAACAATGCAAACTCAATGTATCAAGACAAATAGTGACAAGATTTTTTTTCATATAATTGAATTGAGGAGTTAACTGTGGGCCACCATTTTGGCAGAGATCTTCTCTGCATCACTCTAGACAAAAATTCTTTTCCTTCTATTTTCATTGATGCTCCTGTACTTCTTGAATGTTACTGTACACTTCTGCTTAAATAAAGGCAATAATAACCTGTATATTTCTTTGCTGTTCTCCAGGAAAGTGCTTACAGCACCACAGTGCTGGCAATATGGTGTCCTCCTTAATAAATTCAGTTTTTCTTCTAAAGTGGAGAATGATTTGCGTTTGAAAGGCTATCACCTCCTCTTCCCAGAAACCTCATCCTGTTTTCACCAATCATTCAAGTGTTACATCAGTAGCACTCCTGGTAGATTCCCTGCTCAGAGACACAGAGCTGGTAAATTGAAAGAATATTACCTACTCAACGTGGCATCATTGCTGGCAGTGCTGGCCCTGGAAATCAAGAATGGAGAGAAAGTTCTGGATTTGTGTGCTGCTCCAGGGGGTAAATCGATAGCAACACTTCACTGTGCCTGGCCAGGTAAACCACTGTACTCTAAAACCAATTAGAACACACACAAATTGGCTGCTTGGTTGCTCAAATAACCCATTAAATGAGTAATTTAGAGGCATTCATTAAGAAAACTCTTGTGGCATCCCTTTTCCCTATTGCAGTCAAGAGCCAGCACATTAGGAACTAATTTCTATCTCTGATACAATCTGCATATTATGGCTTGGCTGCCCAGCACCAATTTTTCTGTGCATTAGATGAAGGGATGTGAAAAAAACCAAACGTTCTCCAGTCCTCTGGCATTTCCCGTATCATCTCCGTGATGCTCCGATACTCTAATTTTGCTAGGTCAGCTCAAGAGGGAAACAAAGAAATCACAAGTGCTCATGAGGTGCAGATACATGAAAAGCAAAGGCTATATTTCAAGATTTTAAGAAGATTAGATTATCAGTAGTGGGAATAGATGTGTTTCAGTGATGCAGTGGTTCCCATTAAAGTTTGAGAAAATGCAGTGGGGGTATTTCATCAATGCCAGATCTCTCTCTAAGGCTCACTAGAAGCTTAGGGGAAAGATTATTTAGCACTATATATAGTGATCCTCCTGGATTTGCTGACATGTAGTCATGTCTAAAGCAGGGATGGGGTAACATGAATTGTGAGCCATATGCAACACCCAGGGCCATTTTTGTGCCCCTCCAACACCCACTGGGTCCTGTCAGAATCTATATTCCCCAAATTAATTTTTTTTTTGCTCCCCTTGTGACTTCTGAGGTATGTGGAAGTAATTTTGTCACAGGTTGAGGGCCACCCAGCATCCCTAGGGCACCTCATTAGTTTAAAAAAATGGGCACTAGAAGGTGTTCAGAGGGTTCAGCTCAACCCCCGTTTTTAAGTTAAACCAGTTTTTCATTTAACAAAAACTCATTCCTGGGTACCTTTATAGTATGTAACCACTGCATCAAAATATTTTAAAGCTGTTTTTGTTGTTTTGCTTTATTTTATTTTTGTTTTTTGTTTTTTTTAGTAGCCTCTTTGGCCATAAATACCCTTCAACCTTCAACTCTGGCCCCTTCAGAATGCAGCCCTCAGACTCCTGGCATATTTCAAAAATAGTCCTCCAACTCTCTGAGGTTTCTTAGCCCTGGTCTCTTCAGCCATTTCTGATGATGCCCTGATACACTTTCTCCCAAGCACCCTTTGGCGTGAGTGTTTTTCTGCATCACATTTTTTGCCAGGGACAGTGTAGTTCTGTGTTGCCCTGTCTTCTGCTCTTTCCCTGAAAGTCTTCTCACTGGTCTGTTAACTCTGGCTGGTACTTCAAACCTGTGTTTATCATGAAAACTTATTTCTGGATGTAACAGAAATAAACACAGTGGTGAGTGGTAAGAGTTTCAGAGGGAACCTCATAGAAGGTTATATGTTAACCTTTGCTTATCTTCTTGAGCTTTTGGAAGGAAAAACTCTTTTGGAATGTGTTTGGCACTGGCACAAAATCAATATATTTTTCAGTATTTTTCAGTGGAAAGTAATGCAGTTGCTCCCTACTGCCATTCATATATTATGTTTTTTTTTAACATGGAATGTATGTGTTCAAAAAAGCAAAGTGTTCTGCCTCTGTAGAACACCCCATAGCACTTAAAGCACTCCATGGGCAGTTTACAATTTATTTATGCAGGCTGCACATTGCCCCCCCCCCCGGTTTACTGGCCTTGGATGGATGGAAGCTTGAGTCAGTCTTGAGCTGGCTTCCTGAATCTGCTGGGATCGAACACAGGTGGTGAGCAGAGTTTTAACTGCAATGCTGCAATTTGACCATGGGCTCCTCATCCTTTTGCATTAGATCACAGGCCAGTGAATTGTTTTCACTCATTTTGTAGAGAAGTGGCAAGCAGTCTGGCTGCTGCAGGGAATTTCAGTTGATCACTTGATCATGCCCTGCTGTATACCGCAACCAGAATTGGAAAATGTCACCTTCTGGGCAAGGGAAAGGGGAATGCAATTTCTTAAATGGCTCAACCAGCAAGGATACTTGCTTGGCTGCCTGGAGGAATTCATGGAATTATCATCCCAAAGAAGGTAGTTTTTCAAAGCTCTGCTCTGACAAGGAGGTATGAATTGGCTCTCATTCTTGACATACTTCTACATGTTTTCTGATTTCAGGGAACTTTTTAATGTTTGATTTGGTGACCACTCTGAGAAACCCTGTGTATGTTTGGCAAGTTAACTGAATGAACTAAATTAGCTCATATCATTTTTGTTTAGGGCTTCTACACTCCAATGAGTATGACCATCTGAGAGCACAATGGTTGAGGGAAACGCTAGAATCCTTCATCCCAGAATCTTTGATGCATATTGTTACCCTTTCTCAGTTGGATGGAAGAGAAATGGGAGATCTGAAGCCCGAAACGTTTGACAAGGTATCTTTGTAATTGCTGATCTGCTTGTGGGACTTTGCATTATTATTCTTCCATACTCTTTTGACTCAAATTCATCACAGCTCTTAGCAAAAGTTGTTATTTTGCTCTATAAATCCTTTAGTAAAGAAGAGTATGCAAAATAAGTTATTCATTAACTAGGCTGTCATCTTTCATTCTGGAAGTTTACCATGGATTCTGCTAGGATTAGTGAATCTTAAGACTGGACAGTACCTTGAAGGTTATCTGCCACAACAAACTGTTCAATGCAGGATTTACAGTGCAGGATATAAATACAGCCTTCCTGATGGATAGCTATTGCGCCTGTGCTTAGATATCTCAAGTGAAAGAGAGACCACCATCTCTTTGTTGAGGTGGTGGTTCTACTTCTTCGGTGTTCTTGGCATTAGGAAATTTGTTCTACTGTATATGTTTTGCCCAAATCTTCTTTCTAAAAATGTTTACTCTTTATGTCTAGTCCTGTCCTCTGCTACAATAGAGAACAGGTATGCTCCACATTCTTTGTGATATATTTTCAAATGTTTGAAGATGCTTATCATGTTTTCAGTTTTTTCTACCTCAGACTAAGCACTAGAGAACAGGTATGCTCCACATTCTTTTTGATAGCTTTTCAAATGTTTGAAGATGCTTATGTTTTCAGTTTTTTCTACCTCAGACTAAACATACTTAGCTCTTTCAGCTGTTCCCCTTAGGACTTGGTTTACAGGTCCCTCCCTCTCCAACCTCTTCTTGACGAAACTGAGTCTGTGAATGTAATTTCCAGAGGGCATTGCTGTCAAACAACTCTCATCCTCTCACAGGGGTGAAGGTGGAGTGGGGTAGGGATAAGACAAAGGTTTCTCACCACGTGAGGCAGGAAATAGAACACCCATCTCACTGTGTGGCAGTGCTTCCCCCCTCATGCGTCATCCACCCAAGAGAAGTAGAAGTAGCCATCTGGCTGTTTCTTACGGTCAAGCATTGTGAGCAATAACCTGAAAAACTGCCTATGCTGCTGTACAGACAATTTTCTAGGTCAGTTTTCTGACAGGTCCGTCTTCTGGCAAAAAGAAACAGGACACTTGGAATTAGCTAGCTCTGGAGTATCGTGCAAAGCAGTGACAGCACTTCAGAGGCCCTTCTAGGGCAAAGGGATGGATGAATTTGCCATTGCTGGTGCTTCAGCAACTGAGTCAACCACTTCTTGCTGCCTAAGAGTAGGGCTAGCCCAGTCCCCCATAAAATCTGGGGGCCTTCAGAAAGATTCTCAACTCTTTGTGTTACACTATGAAAACAGAATGGAAAAAATGCAAAAATACACCTTTTGTAGAAATTCTGTTGAGAAGACAGCGGCCCAAATCCTCTTAGCTAGTTGCACTGGCGTACATAGCATAAACAACGTAACCTTTAAATATGAATTAGACTATGTTAAGAAATCACAGTAAACGTTATCAGTGGCATGCTGAGTTGTATATCTCTGTGTGCAACTGTTGTTGACTAATGTGCCATTTATGTTGCTATGCAAGAGGACTCTGGCCAGTAAGTAAGGAATTAAGGTTGAGTACTAAGGGATTTATGTACTCAACCTTAATTCCTTTATGACATGTGAAACACTGTGGAAATAATGGAAGTCTAGAAATCTTTGTTGAATTAGCAAGTGTGTTGAGGATTAGAAATGTCTGGATATATAAGATATAAAAGCCATGCTTCATTATTATTTTAATGGGGTCACACAAAGTCAAGATGTTGATACATCAAGTTTGGTATTCTTTACACCAGATGTGAGCAACTTGTGGCCCCCAAGCTCCCATAATTCCTTAACATTGGCTAATCTGACTAAGGCTAATGGGAATTCTAGGATAAATACTTGTGGGGGAGTTCACCCTTCTCCACCCCTGTATCACTCCTGCTGCCACTGGCCTCACAGGATTTCTAAGCCTTACCTGTAAATGGGAAGGAACCCAGTGCCCTTCTCTCCAACACCACTGTCAAAATTCCCTTTGTCCTGTCACTTGTCTATTTAGGTAATGGTCTCTATAAAGAAACTATGGGAGCAAATGTGTTTTCTTTAATCATCTTCACTTATTTCCTGTCTCCCTCTTTCGCTGCCCCCAACCTCTAGTTGCCCTAAGTGTACAGTATATTCATCCCTTCACTCAGGCCTTTATAACACCCTCCACATAGCTTGTTTGCTTGCATAATTCGTATCAGAGCACAGTACAATTTAAAATTATGGACATATATGAAATATAAAATTAAAAGCAAATTAAAATGTTAAGATCACTAGACTATTTTTGACCAGAAGAGGACTCCTTTATAAGTTCCATCAGTTCAAATAGGCCTACTCTAGTATGACATATTGTGCTGTGCAACAGGACTTTAGTCACTGTTTTACACACACCCTCCCTCTCCTTATCTAGTTTCTCAGCGAATCAAGACCATTCTTACTAATATTCAATCACCCCCTCCCATCACAAACTTGCCAAACTTATGCATGTCAAGCAATTCACTTGCTATCACAATATAAACAATACAAATTTAATATAATCAGGCATCACGCCTGGTCATCCTGGTTGCAAATAATGTGCTCTACTGGTCTGCTAGGCCCTTTCCTCAGGAACAGATGATGGAACAGCAAGAAACATTTTAAAGTTATTTTACACTTTCCTAAATATTTGTTAAACAAATTTAGTGACACTTTGCAGCTGAAATAGAATACATATTTAGACAATAAAGTGCAATAAAATATCAGATTTAAAGACAAATGCCATTCTTTTATATCTGGAGGATAGGCCCTTGTGCCCTTTAGAAGTTTTGGACTATCTCTTGCAAGTCTGAGCTGACACTGTTGATGGTCAAAATTGGGGGGGTGGAGGGTTAGTCCAAAACATCTACCAAGCCAGCTGTCCAAGCTGTCCAGTTGTATTTTATATTATCATTATGGTTATTATGTCTTTCTGTTATTTCTGAAAGTTTTTCTGGTCATACGTATGTGGATCCTGTGTTCATTTTATTTTTATTATTGGCCATTCAGGTCCTAGTCGATGCTCCTTGCTCAAATGATAGAAGTTGGTTATTCTCTTCGGATATCCAGCAGGCAACCCTGCAGTTAGCACAAAGGAAGGCATTATCAGCTGTACAGTTACAGCTGCTAAGGTAAGACGTGAGAAAGAAAAAAACTGTCTGAAATTCAGTGATACTTAGTCCCGAACTGAAGGATGTGCTAAATCATATTCCGAGGCTCTGCATCCACCTGACCCGCATATTCTTCTCTCCATATGCACTCACACTGAGCCAGATGTCACCTAAAAAGTCGCAGAGCTAAACTGCCTTCTCCTGATAACTGCCATGTTGCAAAGAGAAGGCCATTTTGCTCCTCATGCTGAGCAATGGGCTTGTAACTAGGACATTCACAGGAGCGGGAGAATGGAGGAACAGAAAGCTGGGGAAGTTTTGGACTTTCCTTTTAATGCACTTGAATAAAAGCATGCTTCATTTTCTGGAGCCTTTTAAAAACTCCTTTCAAAATAATGTGCAATAAAAAGTACACCTTTGCAATTGTTTTATTTATTATAATTTAAAATATTTTTACCCCAGCTCTCCCTTAAAAAGACCCAAGACAGCTTACATCATTAAAAACAGTATTTAAAAGCTAAAAACTGCAAGTATACAAATATTGAAAAAGAATAAAACAAATACCACACTAAAAACGGTAAATAAAATCAATACAAAAATACGTTTAAAAGCAACAAGTCTTTAACTTTATTAGTATTGTTCTTATTGCTTTTCTCAAATAAATAAATAAATAAATAAATAAATAAATAACGTGCAGAGTGCTGTCCTCTGAAGATGCCGGCCACAGAGACTGGTGAAACATTAGGAAGAACAACCTTCAGAACACGGCCAAAGAGCCCGAAAAACCCAAAACAACCAACCAACCAAATAAATAAATAAATAAATATTTTAAAAAAGCAACGTCACAACAGCCACTTTAAAAACCTCTCTTGCCTGAAGAGAAAAGTCTTTGTCTGTTTGTGGAAGGACAGCAAAGATGGGGCCAACCTGACCTCCTGTTGGAGGGAGTTAAAGAATCCGGGTTCAGTGACAGAGAAGGCCCTCTCCTATGTCCCTGCCCAGTGCACCTGAGAAGGTGGTACGACTGTGAGAGAGGCCTCCCCTGATGATCTTAACACCTGGACGGGACACATAGTCCTTGAGATGGCTTGGACCCAATCCTTTTAATTATAGAAAATGCTTCTTGGCCTGGAAACTTAGAAACTTGACAAGATAGTGCTGCCATTCTCTTCACTCCCATGCCACAGTCAGAAGTAAGCCAAACTGGCAGCTGAATTTTACTTCCGCACTGGTGATGGAACAGTGTTCTCCAAAGCCCCAGTTTGGGGAGAGGGGTGCATGACAGGCTAGGTGACATACACAGTTGTACTTTCCAATGGATGGAGTAGCTTGGGGTTGATATTGCTGCCTTCCAATGTCTTCTCCATTTCAGTTTCCTCTAAGGCTGTTCCTTGACCTTGTACAGTTCCTGTTTATTTCTATGGGGCTCTATGTCTTAATGGAGTCTGCCTTATATTTGCAGCAGGGGAATGACCATAATGAAGCTGCTGGGATTGCAACTTCGCTAAGCAGTTGGTCACTGCTGGCCAAATCCTTGCAGTTAAATGAATTACCTGAACAATCTACTGAGATTTTTTGTCTGTCTTCAGGAAGCTCCATAGTTTTGGATTACAAGCATTTGGTTTATTGCTGCCTTTGCATTACATTGTCCAGAGACAAGGAGAAATGATTAGAAAATTTAAATCTAAAACCATATAATACAATATGGATATTGGAGACATGGGACCAACAAGTTAAGAAAGTTTACTCCTGCCTCTTCCTCCGTCATTTTCTCCTGCTCTATATTATTTTATGGCTATTGATCAAATACTAAAGCTCTTTAATGTAGTGCTGGGTTTCACCTCAGAAGTATCCCAGCTGTCAGGATGAATTGAGAGAGAAATAAAATCGTTTGTTTTCCTAAAAGTAGAGGTTTTTTAATATTTTTTATGGAAAGCTGTCATAATGGGAGTGCAAGTGTAGGTTGCTGTATTTTCAGGCAGTGTTTTTTGCATGAGTTCCTCAGGAAAAGGTCTAAAGGAAGCTTGTGATTTATAACCGAAATATAAGTGTCTTATTGCAGTAATGCATCATGTCATCCATTTCCTTTGGAGAAATCAATCACATTTAAAACACTGACCTCCCTCAGTTTTCTTTCCCCAATATTTGACATGTAGAATCCAATTTCTGAACTCCAGACTCAAGGAAGCATACATCATTCAGTGAAATTTTTGCAAATCTGTATAAATCATTCTAGATTATAATCCTGAAATGGAGCCTTCTTGACAGCAAAAAATCTTGTTGGTAGAAAAAAAAATCCAAACAAACCAAAATTATGCATGTCCCATAAGCACATTTAATCTGATCTGGCCTGTCATCTAAAGGAAGGAAAAACTCAGTTTGATGAAAGCATTCTAAACAAGATGAGCAGTGCAGGAAAAGCAGATGCAAACCAGCAGCTTCTGTGCCATAGTTAGGAGCATTAATACATTGGTCTACTTCTTGTTCATAAATAAAACAGCAACAGATTGATTAATCCATTGTCATATATGATTTTTCTACTGTGTCTCCCTCGGAATAAACCAAACCACTAATAAGCAGAAAATAATAAATTCTTAATATAATATTTTTAGTGGAGGTGCACAGGAAGCAGCAGTTGGAGTAGGCTCGTTTGAATCAATGGCAGTTACAAAGAACTTGACTGTCTTATGCATTCTCAGCTTGACCTCTCTCATCATGTTGTCATGATAATAAAGTGCAGCTTTGTATGCTACCTTGAGTGTGCTGGGTTAAAGACAGGGTATAAGTTGAATACATAAATACATTCAGGTTTCCTTAACTGGATTTCAACCCTAGTAATAAAATATTGCAGTGTCCCCCATGGTATTTCTCTCTCTAGACCTGTGCATTCTCATGTGCACACTCATGTTCATTTGCCACACATAGAGTCCCTCACACCTGTTGTGAAATCCTGCAGACTTCATTCCCTATAAATCTCTCCCACTTTCTGTCTCTGTTGCTAATGCTCCTGCTGTAAAAGAATCTTTTTGTCACCATCACATCAGAACTATCTTAAGAAAATTTATGTATTTATTCATTTGTTTCTTTATTTTGTTTGTTTATTTAATTTTATACATCCTGGTTGGTGCAAAGCACTACTTTATGTGATTAACAAACAAAGTAAATACAAATTATATACCAACAGAAGTAAATCATGAACAAAAAAAGATAAGAACAAGCAAGTTGATAAACAGCATAAAAACAACATACCAGGAACAAATAAGCAGGACAGTTTGGGCAGATATATTAAACGATACCACTAAACGTTTCTTTTAAAAAGAGGATCCTAATTTTGTTGGTGATAAATTGTTTGACTATTGTAATTAATTACTCTAAACTGAGTAGCAAGATTAAAATGCCTCAATATGAGAAGTATGTTGCATAATAGCCATAGGAAAAGAACACAGATGAAGTAAATTCATCTGGTTTCTGCCCCCCCCCCTTAAATAACTTGATATAACTCCCCTTTAACTTGCAAATCTGCCTTATTTTGTGCCCTAGGAAAATCCCTCTGTATTGCAAGGGGAAATAGATATGGAACTTTTGTGGTGTTCCTGTTAAGTTTTCCTGGTGCCAGAATGTTGCATTGCTTCACAGGCGTATGATAAATTGTGCCTTGTGGATGCAACAGGGATTTCCTGGCCTTTTCAGATTGATTTTGTATAAGAGAAAAGAACCCCCACAGCAGCTGAGGAATGTAAGGGGAGTACTATGATGTGTTAGGCCAGGTTGATCTTTAAAAGGAAAACAAAATCTATGATCACTTTTGTGAGAAGAAATGAGGGGATGAAAGCAAATGTGATTTCAGCTGCTTGAGTGGCTCAGAGAGGATTGGTTTCCTGCTGATCAGAATTGGTCTGGCATTCTAAGAAAACAGCTTCTAAGTGTCAACACGAGATGGCAGCGTTGAAGTACAGCACAGAGGTCTCGTAATTTGTCCTTACATTTTTGCTCTTCTTTTTCTAATGTGAAGAATGGATTTATTTGTGATATAATTAATGATGGCCCTTCTAACTGGTCAAAGAGAGTGTAATGAGTCACCAGAATTGTGGGCTGAAAAGGCAGGGTTCTAACTTGAACTACTGTACCAATATGACTTCCCCTCCTCTTTATATGTCTGCCTCTCTCTGTTTACACCTACACCTCTGTACGTGTGTGCATGCTTCAGAGAGAGGGAGGGAATAGAAAACACCAAGATCTTACAATAAACGAAAATGCCAACCTATCACAAAGTTTAATTTATCTCAGTGTGAAGTAATTGCTTTTGGGCATTTTGTCGTTACAAGAGTTTGTTTGTTGGGGTGGATGACATTTAAAATGCCTTGAGTTTTTCAAAGTTGGCAAGCACATGAAGTGACACTTACTGTTCCTATTGTCCTTGTTCCCCACCGTCACCACTTTTTAGAGTGTTATTTTTGAATCTATTTTCTCCGGTTCTTCTGGGTTATGGATGGTGCCTCTCTTCACTGTGTCCATCTGCTGATTTTTAAACATGCTTTGAATTTTGGCTGATGAGTTGTTTTCCATGCGTAACTTTATAACAAGAACACTTAGAATTTAAATAACCCTTTCCCAAATTTCTCAAAACAGCTCACATTATAACCTTGTAGGTTGGCCTAGCCAACATGAGTATCATTAATTACTGACAGATCCCAGCCAGCCAGTGAAATCCAGACTCAGAGACATGCCATCTCCATTGGGTTTGGAATGGGCAGAAGCTTCTTGTGCTATCGTGACCCTTTGTGGTGCCTGATCTTCCAAAATGACTGGATCTGCTGACAGCTGCCCTTCTGGCTGAAATCAGAAGAGTCAGAAAAGGAGTAGGGGGGGAGGAAAGGTGCTGATTTACACTGGATCCGATCTCTTTTCAGCCCATATTCACTGCCACTATGCTGACACAAGTTAGGCCATGCTCAGGGTAGTGCTACGTAATTTCCAACATCCCTGGGCTATGAGGGAATCGGATTCAGCACAGCTGCAGCTGGCTTAGTGTCAGGTCAGCTAGTCCATAGCTACCATGGCTGGTTTGAATTGCATCCTAAATTTTTCAGATTTAGGACAAAGGTCTGCCCTCTTTCCTAATGGTTTGCCCCTTTTTGGTCCTTCTTTCTGTTTCCTAATGCCATTGGCACACATTGGCCATAGACAACATCATAGCCTGTGACTTTCTTTTCTTCATACTTGTTGAAAAATAGCCCCGACAACTGTTTTGTGTTTGGGTGAGAAGTGGTTAACCAATGAAAAAAGGAGTCAGCTTCTGGGATTTTTTCCCCCTGCCTGATACTTCTTTACTGAGCACAAGAGGGCCGTAGACCATCTTGACTACTGCTACTGGTGTTTTCAACATTCAGGCTGCCCTTTGCTGTGTAAAGCTTGGCATCCTTTATCTTGCTGGCAACGATGGACACAGAAGCACAATATCCCACATTCATAAATCAGAGGTTTCTAAAAGAATTGAATTATCTCTTTATTACTTGGCTAATTTCTAAATACAGTGAAAAATTTTAGCTTTGTCCAGCTTACTCAAGAACAGAATTTAGATAGTTATTGTCTGCCTATTATTATTGTTGTTGCTGCTCTTGTTGTTGATATTGTTGCTGTTATTGTTGTTACTATTACTATTATTCCATTGTTATTTCTAAAAACAGAATGTATATTGATAACACGCCACAAGTATGGAAAGGCAACTTTATAATGAAAAGTAACAAAAGAGATATTTTAAATATATATTCTTCATTAATTTTGCTTTATTTAAGTCACTGCAGAAAGGACAATCTCTTTTTTCTCTGAATATGTCACTATGATACTTTATACTGTATGCATTCAGCATTGCATGTATAGCAGGCATAATTAAAGAACAAGGATTTAAAAATATCAAGGTTCTGTGTTAACAGAGAACTCAATTGTAAGTACCTCCATAAGACGCACAGACTTTCAACCCCCATGATATCAAGGTTCTGTGTTAACAGAGAATTCAATTGTAAGTAAGTAAATTCTTTAAAATAGTTTTTCAAATCATACCCTCATAGGTTGTGTAATGGACACCTCTGTATTATGAGAAGAAACTTCCTAACTGTTATACCAGTACAACAGTGCAACCAGTTACCTCAGGAAGTAATGAGCACTTCAACACTGGAGGCATTCAGATATCAAGGTTCTGTGTTAACAGAGAATTCAATTGTAAGTAAGTAAATTCTTTAAAATAGTTTTTCAAATCATACCCTCATAGGTTGTGTAATGGACACCTCTGTATTATGAGAAGAAACTTCCTAACTGTTATACCAGTACAACAGTGCAACCAGTTACCTCAGGAAGTAATGAGCACTTCAACACTGGAGGCATTCAGATGAAAGCTTACATAGCCATCTGTCAGATATACTTTAACTTGCATTCCCACATTGTGCCAGAAGGTTGGACACAGTGGCCTTATAGGCCCCTTCCAACTCCATTATTCTATGATTCTGTGATTTATGTTTCCAGCTCAATATACTTGATTTTTTATGATTGCTTGCAGGTCTGCAATTAAAGCCTTGCGTCCTGGAGGATCTTTGGTATACTCCACATGCACACTTTCAAAAGGAGAGAACAGTGATGTCATCACTGAGATCCTCAACTCCTGCAGTGATGTTCTGCCAGGGGATATGGGCGCTCTGGCTAATGTGGCATCTCAAGAGTTTGTTCTTGCATCAGGTGTCCAGCAGCATGAACTTCTAGTACTTCCAGAAAAGGGGAGAGCATGGGGACCAATGTATATATCTAAATTAAAGAAAATTTGATTCACTTAACTCTTGTGCAGTTCTTGTTTATCATTCTTAACAACTCATTGTTGCCGGGGCTCCTAGTTTTCGAAATTAGGAACTAGACAATCGAGATCCAATAAGCTCTCTTTAGAGCCCAAACGGCGTTTTAAGTTGTATTTTTATTCAGTGGCATAGTGATAGGGTCTAGGATACAGGTTGTTATACCTTGACAGTCCTTGTAGCTGTCCCCAAGTAGCCATGCTGGCTGGGGAATTCTGGGAGCTGTAGACCAACAAAAATTTGAATTTCCAAGCTGTGGCTTATGCTTCACATGGGGAACAGGCAAACATCAAGACAGATAATAGCAGTGTGTATAATACAGCATTCCCCTTCCTACCAAAGCAAATAACATCACTTGGAACCACAGCTCCCCACTAACAAAAAGAAACAACAATTTCTGTCAACACATTTATCTCTGTGTGGCTGGCTATATTGTCACTCTGAATTGCATTTTCATCTCCTCTCTCTTCTGGAGGTGATTGATATATCTCATTCAGCCACCAGTTGGAAGTAACATGTTGAAACTAGACTTCATGTTTTTGTTGTGTGTTTTTTTTAAAAGTAATAAGGCCAAACATTGTTAATTATATGCAACACTACAAGATGTTACCATGTGTGCATGTGTATTTTAGCAGGATTTCTTGCATTATGAATGTGATTTTTATAATTAAAATGCTACATGCCAGCAACAGACTACAGTTGCTGCTATTTGCTACTTGCAATTCACAAGTAATAAGTTGTTTTTTCTAAAAAAAGTAATGCTAACATGTTATTCTAACATAATATTTTTCTAAAAAAGTAATGCTAACATGTTATTCTAACAACATTTCTAAGTTCTGTATTTAGCAGCCTCTTGATTCACTAGCCATGAAAAGCTGCTACACAGGCATCTTAAGCTAGCTTTAGAAACAGCAGCTGACTTCTGCTATTCATTAGCCAGCAGTTAAACTTGATGGACTATAATGATATTTCTGTTACCAAAAGAGCGGCCTGCTGTTGTGGTTTTGTGGCTTCTATTTTCTTTTAAAACACCAATACAACACAGAGCATTTGTATGTGTACACAGAAATGAAATAAATCTAAGATTCAGGGGAACCACCCACCCACCCATGGCCTTATCCCCCATGGCTGGCAAGCTTATGATGGTAGACCAAGCATCCTTCCTTGTTCCAGGGGTCATGTTTGTGATTGACTTTATAATGTATCTCCCATTAGAATCAGTGGGAGAGAAATAGTGAGTATCATGTCCAGGGGTGTACGGGCATTGAAAGGAAAGAGAACCATGAAACATTCCCCAGTCCACCTCACGTCCCTTTTCCCCTACTGCTTATTTCAAAGGGTTATGGGTCATGGAAGTCATTAATTATATGAAGACCTGCATACTGTATTGTTGCAACTTGTACCTTTGTCATATGGTGAGAAAATAGATGGTTACAATAGCTGCGGTGCTTTAGCATATGCTTTTGGGACATGAATACATCTTTTCTGGCAGCTCCAAAAATAAATGCTTGAAATGAAACTAGGATGATTAATGGCAGTAATCATTATGCAGTGTTATAAAAGTATTTCTATTTAAATGCTGCCATAATTGCCATTAAAAACTGTGAATAAATGGTTTGTCTAAAGTGATGCCGGTTCTATGGCAGAAGAATAGGATGAGGCTATGAAATAACCCTTCATGTGCTTCTCATGTTTTAAATGTAGCTAACCATTTAATAAGTATTGTAAAAGAATATAAAAATCGCAAAATTATATAATTTAATAAAAAAAGAAAGAAAGAGAAAGAAAGAAAGATATAAAAATCGCAAAATTATATCATTTAATAAAAATCAAAGAAAGAAAGAAAAAAAAGAGAAAGAAAGAAAGAAAGAAAGAAAGAAAGAAAGAAAGAAAGAAAGAAAGAAAGAAAGAAAGAAAGAAAGAAAGAAAGAAAGAAAGGCCAAAATCCTATTGTGGACTTAGGGCAGCATGAATGTTTCATGATTGTGTATATCATGTTGAACAATTGCCACTAATTAGCAAGTTGGCACCCACTTTCCTTATCTGCCAGTCATGCAACATGGTGGATGACCAAGAATGGGAACAGCAATTCATTAATTAACAACAGTTCACTACTGCAATTTACATAATGATACTAACTCTGGTGTAACACCACAATAGGATTTTGAACAATGTTACAGAATCAGGTAAGTTTTTAAGATTTTCATCAGCATTTATCCTAACAAGATCACCACCATTTGGAAGCACATTCTTTCTATAGAATCCTTTTGCTTCCATTCAGTACTGAATGGCTGACAGTCTTCTGCAAATAAAACATTCCTTCCAATATATAACACCAATCAATTTATTAATTAACATGATACAGAAACATTGCTAGTAACTTAGTTCAGTGTTGTTGCTTACTTCTAGAAGTGTTTTCCAGTGAAGAGTGGGCTTTGAGAAGCTCCCTATGCCCAGAATTCCATTTCATAGATGTTTTAAACTGACTATAATATGTTGAATTTGGATGTTGAAGGAAAGTAGCATATGTCCAGAATCATGTCCTCTGGCCTTGTTCAGTGTGATCTCATGATTTGTCTTAGTGCAAGCCAGGATTGTAAGCAAGGATTATTGTTTACCTCAGTTTACCTCAGAGTTATGGTGGCCATTCTAGGATGCTTGCTTTTCCAGACTTTTTAGCTTAAAAACAAAAAAGTGATGTAATTTATTTGGCCTTTCTACAGGAGGGCTATCCTGCAAGATGACTCTCTGGCTGAGTTATTCCTATTATCTGTGTAATTTTGATGGAAATTGTTTAGAGCTATCTTCCTGTTGTTTCCTCTTGAGAGGAAGCTCCCCTTGAGACCCAAAACTATTTTTTCTCAGTCACTGTTTTAAACCTATACTCGTCCTTGGCCTGACAGAGTTTCCAGTTAAAACAGCCTGTGGTGTGCACATGCATTTTTTAATAAGAGTGAGACTCTGCAAAGATGTATACATCCAACCAGTTTGATAGCAGATGACAAACGACTATTGAGCTTTCTTTATCATGAAACCTCTATGATGAGATGCCCATTGGTGATAAGGAAGCAGAAGCTACTGGGAAGCAGTGGTAGCTGAAGGTGACACTGGTGAAGGAGGCGATGGCGATGACATTCAAACTGCAATGGTAAACCCCTATTGAACTTTCATTACCAAGAAAATCCTATGATGAAACAGTCAAAAATGAAACAAAGCTAGAACTAGAATATGAGACTCCCAGGTCAGAAAGCATTTGATCAATTACTGGGGAAGAGCAAAGAACAAGCAAGGATAGTTTATTTGATATAATGGTCCTTCTAATTGTGCATGGAGGTATTGGATAACTCATTGAACAAGCTCTGAAACTATCAAGTTGCATGCATAATGGACTGCTGTTCATGCAGTTAGTTCAACAGATCCCAGCTATTTTATTTCCAGTTTCTCTTTTTTACTCTTTGTGCAAATAATATATGTGTTAATGTAATTTCTTGCCATTTGCACTTTTGTCAGAATTCAGGAGAAGGATGCAAAAATTTCCAGGTTCAGTCCCTGGCATCTCCAAGTAGTGCTGGGAAAGACTGCTGCCTAAAATCCTGAAAGAGCTATCTCAAGTCAGTGTGGACAGCACCAATACTCTAATTTGATATAAGACAGCTTCCTATAGACCAGAGGTCTCCAAACATTTGACCATGAGGGCTACACCAGATATTTTCAACATTTTTGAGGGCCGAAGGAACAGGAAAATGTGCACATGTGTATGTGCAGCTCCACACACACACACACACATGCACCCCACGCATGCCCCATGTCCCCCATCACACATGTCTGCACACACACACACACCCTTCCCTGCATGCACCACACACACATGGACAGATGGACACACACCTACGCCCCCCTGTGCACACATGGGCTGAAGGCAATGGGCTGGATGTGGCCCGCAGGCCATAGTTTGGAGACCTCTGCTATAGACTGAAGGAATAGCCCTAAGATTCCGTTGCCTGACTCATGTATTGAGTACTTCTCTTGCTTATAAAGGATCATGCCATTGTACAGTTTTTGGTGTTCAAATGATCTGATTTAGCATAATAATAAGTTACTTGTTAAAAGTAATGTTGCTTGTAATTAGTTTCTTTTTCCAATAATGAAGGTGCAACTAAATCACGTTACAACTGTCAGGTAATGAGTGACTATTCCTTTCATAGAGTAAACTGACTTTATGTTATGCTTATGGAAGATGACTTCACTAAATGGTGAAGAGAAGGATGTCACTGTGTGTTATGCTTTGTTATACAGCCAAAATTTCTGAAAGTATCTTATGAGTAAAAAGTAAAATATAACCTGTTACTTGTAGAAATTGGAACCAATCCTTTTGAAAAAGTATCCCTTAGGATTGATGATACCCAGTGTGGTGCAGTAGACAGAATGACTAGGGCTTAGGAGACCTGGGATCAAGTCACCACTCAACTATGAAAACTCATTGGGGGTACAAAACTTATAAAAACATGTCTGAAGTATCTCATTTACCTTGAAAGCCTATTAGGGTTGCTGTAGGTTGGTTCCAACTTGACGGCACATGACAACATAGCAACAATAATCATATTAGCTTAGAAGCAGGTCTAAATCTGAATCCGGTGGGACTTTATTCCCACGCCAAAGTGCAGAGTGTTATCACCTTTGTTCTTCCATACTCGGACATCCTGTTTGCCAGTTGGCAATGGAATGGACTTGACACCAGGAGAAGGATGTCTTATCAGTTAAAGCTGGTTCTACTAGTGAGGCAGAAATCTCCCTTTCATATTCCAGCCTTCTGGGTACCCCAAAAGCTGCAAGGGGGTGATAGACCTTTCTGGAGTCAGTTTTTGGGCAGCTTCTCAAAAAGGAAGGCACGAGAAAGGGAAGTAAGTTCTGTTACAAGGCCTGCAAGGCAAATACTATTGGGTTTAGGACCATAGCAACAGCAATGAGGAACAGCA